ATTAAAATTAATTATATTGTCATTTAAAGCAGCTTGGTTAAGAAATTTTTGAAGAAAAGTATAGAAAAAAGAGCTTTCACATTTAGGATTAGGTTTAGTATTATTAAGTTGTATAAATTGTTCTTCTGCTTTATGGGCTAATTTTTAAGAAATTTAAAGAGAAAAGGTTTAAAAAGAGTAACAGGTAAAGATTGATTTGGTTCAAAAATAGAAAAGTTTAGAGTTGGTTTTGTGATAGATAGAAATTGTGAAAAAGATTGTTTAAAAAAGAAAAAAGTAAAATTATAAAAAGTATGTTCAATATTATTAGGAAGAATATTGCACGTAGGATTTGTACAAGTATATAAATGATATAGGGCAGCTTTGGTTGATGTTTCAGTACATTCTTGTAGTGAATTAATTGATATAAGTTGGTAAGAATTAGGAAGCAGTTATTTGAGCTTGTTAGAAAGGAAAGTAGTAGTTTGAAATTTAACATAATTATAAACTTTTTGTTAATTAATATATAAAAATTGTTTTTTGTAAGAGTTATAAAATTTGGGAGACTAGATATCAAGTGGAATACAGTATGTTTTGTAAGAAGGAATACGGAATGTTTGGAGAAAAAATTGTGGATCAATATTAAAGGTAATATAAATATTATACTTGAAATCATATTTGACTTCTAGTGATAAAGAGTTAGAATTATAGTATATAGTATCAAAGTACAAACTTAGATGAATAGGTTTAAGGTCAAGATCCAAATAAAATTGCATGTAGTTAATAGTTTGATATTTGTTATGAAGAAAAAGATTTAGACGAGCAAGATTGATTGCAATATGAGCACGTTGAGAAATAGAATAAGGGGATAAAAAATAATAAAAGTGAAAAATTTTTTTGTAGTTTAGATTTGTAAAAAGAACAGTAGTAAAGTTAGATAAAATACTTTTAAAAGTAAATAAAAGTAATTCAGATGGGATATTAGAGTTATAAGAGAGTGTATTTAAAGTATTTTGGTAAATAATATCAAAAAGAAACTGTGGTTTTTATGAAATTATATTTTGTAATAAATTATTAAAGAAATTACAACTAGTTTGTTGTTGAGTAATAGAAGTATATGTTTTACCAGAATAGAAGTTTTGAAGAAAAGGTTTAATAAAATTAAAACTTGTATTCCAATAGGAGTTAGATATTAAGTTTGATTTTGTACTTCTGTATTAATTGAAAATGATTGAAACCAGTCAAGAGTTTTTACTAGAAGATTGATAATAGGGAAGTCTTTGTTGAGTCATAGTTAGTTTTAGATATAGAGAGTAAAGAAAATAAAAAAAATATATAAAATTTAGTAATATAATATAGATAATAAGAAAAAATAAAACTTGTCAGCGTTTTTGGTCATGTGATCAGAGTTAGGTGATTCTGAATTCATTAGAAACATCTAAAGACAAGAATTATTTTGGTAGTTAAATCATCCAAATTGGTTGGGTAGATCAAAAGTTATTGAATTTTAAAGGTTTGTAATTATAATAAATATAGTAGTTTATATGTATAAAATAATAGAACATATGCGCGAATTTATGGAATTGGGCCTTTTTTTAGAACCTCATATTTAAAAAATAAAATAGTAATCAGCTGTTTTTTTTTTAAACCCCCAAAATTTTAAATAGTTAAAATTCTGCAAAGCAAAAATTTATATATATACAAGCATGTCAAACCAATCGTCCATTCTCAAAACCAATCCTTCCTTTTAGAATTTACTTGAGTATGAATTAACTATTATAATTATTTAAATATTACAAAGCTAATTTATTGAATTTTTATTTTGAATTAATAGGCTTAATAAATAACATAATGGCTATTAATACACATCACAACTTTATTTCTTCTAAACCAATAGTTCTTACACCACATATTACTTTACAACAAGGTTTTAAGTGCAAAATTTGTAAACTGATTTATAAAACAAAAAGAGGTCTTATGTGTCACCAAAGAATTGTTCAAAAGTATAATGTTCACCGTAAGAGGTTATATACATTACCTTCACAAGCAATTAGGCAATTTAGAGCAGATCTCGTTCATATTATAGAAAGCAAACTTAAAGAGCATTATAGTTGGTCAGGCAAACAAACTATTACATTTCCATGTTTAGAAAGTTTATTTTTTAGTATTTTTAAGAGTCATATCCATTATTTCAATCGTAGAAATCATAGCTATAAGTGTTTTTTTCACAGACCAGATGCATATTCACAATTAGCTAGTTTATTTGAAAATCAGAATTGGGGACGCAAATTTTTTAGCAATGATCAACAGACATTTATTTGGTTGTTTAACGGACAGGCTCAAAAAACCAATTATAAAAAAAAATCCGAATTACCAAGATTAATAGTCGAATGGAAAACAAAGAGCAAAAGAGATGCAAAAGGTAATCAGACTTTAGCAAGTTATCTACATTTGAGTTTTTATACTAACAAATTTAGAGTTATAGGGTCTAGGTATTTTTTTTATTTTTTTATTTTATTTTAATACGTATGAATTTATTACTAATAAAATTTTAACACCTTATGATAAAATGAATATATAATGTACGAAGATTCAAATAAAGTAATAGATATACGTTCAAACAATTATGATAATCTGAATTCTAATTTTGTTTAAATCATTTTATCCATATTTAATTTTAAGTGAGTTGTTATCTTACAAGTCGAATTAAACACTTAATTTACCTTTTATAATTCATTTTATTAAGTTTAATAGATTTAAAATAGATTTCCCTTTTCAAAAATCAAACCAAAACCTTTATCAATTTACTTTAATACTTACAGCTAACTACTACTAAAGATGCTTCATTTTGTTATATAAACTAAGAATTTGGCTTGGTATTTTCTATACCCAGTTGGATAATGCACAAAAAATTGATCATAATCATGGCGCTTATAACAAAATAGTGGAACTAGCTGAACTTATCTTGGCCACTTGTTCTCCTTTTCTAATCTGGCTATTTGGTTGTTAAGATCAGATATGGTAAAATATAAGACCGTATAGCTGGTAGTGATAGTTTAATCACTTTACTCTATTAACTTTAAATTTTGCACTTAATAATCGACACTTTAACCCAATAGAAGACCCTAAACTTGAAGCTATTCATCAGGCTAGGATACGCAGGTTACAAGCTGCTTTTGTTTCTGTAAGAACTTAATAATCAAGACCAGTGTTGTCACTGGAAGCCACTGGAAGAAAATCAATAGTGTCACCGGAACTTTAAGTTCCAGTGATACTATTAATTTTCTTCCAGTGGCCTTCCAGTAACAATACCGATCAAGACAACTTATGCGATCAAAAAAAAGCACAAGATTCTAACTCTAATCATCCATGCATAACAGGGAGGTGGATCAAAGTCTTCAGATGACGATGAAAAGAAACGGTAACAATTACCCATATTGAGCTGATTAGAGTTAGTACTTCAATCCAGATATATATATCTGGATTGATATTTTGCTAAAAATTTATAGTAAAATATAGTAATATTATCTGGATATAATCCGGATATAAAATCATAATAAGGTATTAACTCTAGAGCTGATCATTGTAATGTATAGATATATGTAAAAAAATCAAAATCTTTAAAAATGCTAGGATTTTTTAGCTGGCAAATTTTTTAGACAACAGGAAGAGACGAGACAAACATTGATATAAAATTATTTTGGTTATTATTAAGATTTAGTCATATTGACATATCTTTAATAACAATATTTATATAATCTGTATGTACTTTATTCCAATAGTTGATACAAATTTTAATAATGAAGCTCGAGAGAGACGTAAGTTGTTAACATAATTTTTAGTGTAGAAATATAATTTTCAAATGTCAGCAATAAATTTTACTTTGAATTAAGATATATCCTTTACATTTAGTCACAAGAATTTCTATTGTAAAAGCTGAAAAAGCTCAAACTGTTGAAGATCTTTTAATTCGAATAGCACAATCTGGAAAGTTGCGTGGAATCGCAATTGATCGACCAACAGCAAAAGCCAGAGAAAAAGGTTATAGTATTTTCTTTAAAATAAAGTATATTTATATGATAATAACAGAATTTTAGTACTCTATTTACATAATATAAATGGATATTTAATAAATAAAAATAAGTAGCTTGTACCAAGATACCCAAATTCCTGCATTGCGTTTTATAATAACACTTTCTAAAGATGATTGAAACCTCTAACTTATTTATATTAAAAATAAATAAATTAAATAGGTTTAATTTGAACCAATTTATTAATGATATCGATAATTAAGCACTTAAAATTTTAATATTTGCAGGTTTCAAAGTTAAAAACACTGATTGGAACCGTTATTCATTTAACCACGATTAATCATTTATTTATTTTATATGGTTAAACGAGTAAAGGTTTTAATAAACGATTAAAAACCGTTAAATTATTCGCTTAATCATTTTAAAATTTTATATGATTAATCGCAATTAATCATATAAAATTCTAAAACGATGGTTCCAATCTCTAAATTTATTTACCTTAATTTTCGATTTTAGTAGTCATTTATCATTTCAATTCTGGACCTACAAAAGAAAGAAATAAGGTGAGTTTTCACTTTATTTATTTATTTGTTTATTTGTAATTAACCTACCTATTCTTGCTGTTACTATTCGTCGTTCCAATTCCGGTTCTATAAAAAGAATTTGAGAGGTGAGTCTCCTCGATTCCGGTTATCACTCATCGTTTTGATTCTGGACCTACAAAAGAAAAAGAAGATTTGAAAAGTGTTATTTTTTTTTTCTAAATTATTTATTCATTTATCTAATTTATAATTTATTTACCTTGCCCTTGATTCTGGTGGTTGTTTACTGCTCCAATTCTGAATCTACAGAAAAAAAATAATGAGGTGAATTTTGATTTTATTTATTTATTTATTTATCTTATTTTTTTTTTCATAATTTACTTACCTTTTCTTGCCATCATCTTTCGTCGTTCTAATTCTAGATACTTTTAGACCAAATAGTTACCCTTCATATTTATATGGGTTAAACGATTATATAAAACAATTATATGATTGCAGTTAAGTGATTAAACTATCATATAAATGGTTACCCTATTAGATGATTATAAAAATGGTTAAACGACTAATAAATGATTTAATAAACAGTCAAGCAATTAATAAACGGTCAAACAATTAATAAATGGTTAAGCGATTTTTACTCGTATAACTTAAAGTTAAATGACGCAATTAATCACGAGCATAATTTTTCGCAGTTCCAATCCCTATTTCTAAGAGTATAACATGTTTATTGATTTTATCATTATATTTTAATCAATATATGGGATTCCACATAGCAAAACAGTGCATTGGGCCAACCAATCAGATTTTGAGATTTTATAATAATAATCTGTTAATATATTGTATCTTTCTAAAAATATTATTAATTTGTAAAATATATTAATAAAATGTATGTAAAATTTAGAATTTGGTTTGTTATTATTATAATTAAAATTAATCACGTGATGATTTTCAATTGTGATTTTCTCAAAATCACATGATTGTCCCAATGCACTGTTTTGCTGTGTGGGGTCCTATATATCATTTTTTTGTTATATATCAATGATTATCTGCTACTTCATTGGATGTCAACTAGCTGACACACCCTGTAGATCATTTTTAGGGTGTGTCAAAAATGATCATCATTCCAAAAATCTGCGGATATGAAAGTATAAATATATATGTGAAGATATAAGTTGTAAGTGTTCAATTTTTAGTAGTTTTAGAGTATAAATTATGTAAAAATAGGTATAGAAGATAAATTAAAGATGTTAGTTAGTTATAAATAGTGAGAAAATAAAAAAAATATATAGAATTTAATAATATAATATAGATAATTTGAAAACAACACTTGATGGTATTTTGGTCACATAATCAGAATCAGATGATTTTGGATTCATTGGAATAGTCTGGAATAGAGGATCATTTTGATGGTTAAATCATCCAGATTGGTTAGGTAGATCAAAAGTTATTAAATTTTAAAGATTTTGTAATAATAATAAATATAGGAAAGTTATATTCATAACACCATTTTATATAATACTCTATACTAACCCTATGCTATATTTCAAAAACATACTAAGTAAACAGGATTGGGTATCTTAAGTAAAAATGTTCAGAACCCATAAAAACCTCACAAAAATTAAAATCAGGACCTTATATCTAATATATATTATATTATATAAAAAACATCTATATATCTTAAAGCTGCACTCTAACTCTAATCTATCTCTAATTAAGACTATATAGGTATTATATAACATTGGTGTTATGAATATAATATTTCATAAATACAGTCAGGGATTTTACTAAATTAGGAAATCACATTCTAGAATAATCTCTGTATCATTCTGTGAATTTGATTGG